GACCTGCATGCAAGGTGATAAGTGATGCTCCTGTGAGTGCCACCATCTCTCAGGCGTCCTTTAAAAGCCAAGCGAGTCACGAACCCTGAACGATGAGAATACCGTGGGACTTCAGGTAGAAGGAAACTTACATGAACAGACTCTGGTTACTAAATACTTTTTAGTAGTAAAACATAGAGGAAATCAGATTAATGAGCAGAATGCCACCCCTAGTTTTTATCTTCAGACTTCGCTATTCTAAGCCTCTGTTAGGCCAACAAGCATAGTTTCAAGAAGCTGCGAAAATTCTGGTATTTTTTCTACACGAAGGAAGCCGGTACGAAGGCCGGTACTAGCCTGACGTATTGGCGTGTCATGCGAATCCATCATCAGAGGTATCATTAGATAATGGTAGTGCGTTGTTACAGAAAGGGTTCATTCTCCGCCTGCGTTAACTGTGGGCTGACCAGTGCCAGTCGCCCAAACCGAGCGGCACCCTTTCTTTAAGTTTAAAATTTAAATAAGACGTAATTTGCTACCAAAGTAGTACGATAAAGAATTTTTTCGTTTACGTTTTCCACAAAATATATTTGAATTCATAAAGGCAGTCAAAATCAATGATTACTACGCATACAATTTATGTAGTTTCTTTTTAGAGAACTTACGTATTGTTAGTGGCCATAACGAAGCCCATTAAGAAGCTCGCATCCTATGATGATTGAAATAACTTCAGAATAGACTACATGCTAATCAGTATCACAACCGGAGTCAATGCCAATTAGCGAAAGACTATCAATATTTCGAATATGTCGGCGTGTTGAAGGAATTCTGGCGCGTACTGTACAAGCTGCTCAGCAGATAGTTACAGCGGCCAACCTCTTAATAGATGTAAGACCAAGTAAGAAGCACGTTTGTGCGTGCGTTTGGGTTTTGTCTGACTATAAAATGGCCTAGAATTCGTGCAACATTCTGACGTATGCGAAAGATTGATACTCTTTGGCTGATTGGCATTAAGTAAGGATGTATTACTGATCATCACGTAATCTCTTCTGAAGACATTTCAGTCTCACGATAGGATGCCAGCTTTTTAACGAATTGACGCAGCATGAGGAGTTTTCTCCAGCCTTCGAAAGTGCCTATGGACTCGACGCGATATCTCTATTTCCACAAAGATCCGCGTGTACCGTGCATCTGTGCAGTCAGTTCTCCTATACAGATGCGACTGTTGGGCTATGCGCGTGGAAGATGAACGAAAGCTGGAACATTTTTGAATACTACTGTCTGAGGAGCATCATTCGAGTGAAGTACACCGACTTCGTCTTAAATAAGACAGTCCGCACTCGCTGCTAAAAAATCACAAGGATATCCCAGGCCATTCAGGAAAGATGACTTAGGTGGTTTAGACACGCTCTTCGTTGCCAACCTCAAGATTTCAAAGCTACTGCCCTCGCCTTGAAACCTATAGCTAATTGGAAACGTCGAAGAGAAGGTCAACTCAAAACCTGAATCGACTCAGTCCGTCAGAACGAGGAAGTGGTTCTTGGACCTCCGGTATTCGGTCTCCGACGCTGGCAAAGAGAATGGGTAGAGCTTTCCAGATCCGCTGCCGCCAATCGTCACGCATGGAGAAACACCGTACGACACATCATCGAGGCGGACTAGATCAGGCATGATCACAGCCGTAACAAGTATAAGTACACCCTGACGGGGCGGAAACCGGAGTGTTCGTCAGCGAGAGAATTACCACAAAGGCCCAAAGCGGGCTTTGTGTGAGTCATTCTCAGCACGATGGTTGACCCGACCAGTCTGGGGTGCGTGTGTGTGCCCCAGTCGCGCGAAGGTAAAAGTTGCGTGTCGCATGCGGACATGGGCCATTGAGCTGTATCGAGCGCGACTGGGCGACTTAGACTGCCACTACTAGACCTCGTCAGCGGTGTCTTGTATAGGGAGGAGGTGGGCTGTAGAACCGCTACAGAACAATAATCAACAAATGACAAAGTTTATACCATATCCCTGAACGCGTCATAAGCTTTAGTCACGCTGATGCCAAAGCAAACGGTCTCAATCGATCGATACTTGGGAATATTTACAAGAAGAA